GCCTTCAGAGTCTTAAAGCTAAAAATTAATTACCTGTATGTCTCTAGACCTAGATCTTTGAAATTCTGTTTCACTTCAGGTGACTAAGATTCTTTTAAAGTCAGTAATCTATCAATGTGAAGTTAAGGCTATCCTTGGAGCAGAGGCCCAGATGCAGGCAAAGCATCCTGTGATCACAGTGGTCTCCTCAAAGAGCAACACCACTTGTGCTGAAGACTCACAACCCATCCCTTTAGTAATCCAGCCTAGCATTTGGCCTGAAATCAAATTTTGCATACAAGTGGGAATCTGTAGTATCTTTCTTCTTTCGTAGGACATCTTTAATTTTCTGCGCACACTGTCAACCCCTCCCCACCCCACCCCCACCCTGCTTTCCCCCAGAGCTCTTCAAAGACCACTAGCTGTGTGTCAGTGGTTCTATTAATATTTTGGAATATTGTCATTTGGACAAAGTAATCTGGACACCTGCCTTCAGAAGAGCCTGGGGCTCTCTCACCTGCTCCTCCTCCCTCTATGACCCCCATGGTCTTTTCCTGATTCTTGAATTCTTTAACACAGATTCTTTAATTCTTTTCTATAGAAAAGACAAAGGCTCTGATTTGTCAACAGCTTCCATATACTTTAAGTCACTAGAATAGAGCCAGGCATGCAGAATTAGCTTGATTAACATTTGTTGGATTTGAAATAGAAACCATGGTTCCTGTAACAACTCACACAGGAGGATCGAGAGCTCAGAGTAAACATCAATGTGGAACATGAACAGCAAAAGTCATTCACTCCTCGCTCTGATCCTGAACATTATTTGAACACTTAGAAGTCAGACATAACCGCATATGAATTCTACCCTTATCACTTTGTAGCTATGTGATCTTGGGGGAAAGTTAATGGTCTTCTCTAAGCCTCAAATATGTCATCTTTAAAATGGGGATCAATACCCGTCATAAAAAGTTATGATCAATATTTCAATAGATATTGCATTTGAAGCTTCCTGACATGTATTAAGTGCTCCAAAAGTGGTATCATAATACTGTGTCCTTAAAAATTCTAAGTAGTGAGCATGATCATTCTCATAATGCTTGGTGATGCCACACTTGTTCACCACCAATCAGCATTGCTACTGCAGAACCCCTTCATGCACTGCTGTTGAAGAATATACTTATTGTTCCTTTAGGGTCATGTTCTCCATTATATTCTTCTCCCTTCTAAGATCTCTGCCCATTCCAGCATTCCAGAATTGGCTTTCAGCAGTGGCCTACATTATGAAACCCATTTAATCTCACCATTATTAGGAAAACCTGGATTGATTTTTTTGGAGGGAGGATTTGTAGTAATCACCCCAATAGTAGGGTTTTCCAGTACCTTGAATAAATCATCAGGTCGGCTTGCAAAATCAAGGCTTGGATGATGGTCATATCCAGGTGGGCCTGGACCTGGTGGTCTTCTCCCATCCCTGACTGCTAACCAAGCCAAAGCTCCAGCAAAGACCTGTAGGCTGTTGTCAGACTTGCAGACTGGCTGGGCACTGGAGGCTGTAGTAGTGACTAGTCACAGGGGATGTGTGTCAGTTTGGTGGATCCTCTGAATGTACAAATATCCATTTAGAACTGGTGAAGGATTCAGGGCTAGTTCTCTCCCATAGAGAGTGTGTAGCAGGGCCTTGTGTGCATCTGAGCACAATAATGTCACAAAGGTACTGGGAGGGGACTTGATTCTTTCAGACAGCTCACTGCACAGGTTACGAGGCCAAGATCCTCCTCTAAACTATGTAGCAGGGGAAATGTGTGCTTCAGAAAAGAACAGAGAGCTTAAGCTCAGCCTCAGTCTGGCAGCCACAGCCTGTGTCTCATTCCTCCACTAGGGTTGCAGTTCTGACAGATATGTGACATGATGCATAATAGATGAGCAAGTGGTTAGCTGGGCCCACACAATTCACTGTAATCCTGACACAAAATACATAGAAGTCTTTACACCAACTTGCTTTGCTGGATTCACAAGCTCTGACAACATAAGGCTGCTATTTCCCAGTGACTATATTGAAGGTCACCTTGGAGGCATTGGGTTATGTTACCACTTGTAGACATTTTTTCAGTTCAAGAAACAGAGTATATATACTTTGTTTCCAGTGGCATATCATATTGATCTAGATTGACTTTATGTCCATTCTCCTCTCTTTCCACTGGAGACAAAAAGGAAACAAAAGCCTCAGGACATGTCCATTGGTTTGCTCAGGCTGCCATGACAAAGTACCAGGGCCAGGGGCCTCAGACAACAGGAATCTATTTCTCCCCATTTTTGGAGGCTGGGAGTCTCAGATCAAGGGGTTGGCAGTGTTGGTTTCTTCTGAGGTGTCTCTCATTAGCTGGTAAATGCCCCCTACTTCCTGTGCCCTAGCATGGTCTCCCCTCACTGTGTCCAGTCATACTGGATTAGGGCCCACCCTACTGACTCATTTAAGCTAAATTACTTCTTTAAAGACACTGTCTCCAAATACAGTCACATTCTGAGGCACTGAAGGTTAGGACTTCAACTATATGAATTTCAGGGGACAAAATTTAGCCCCTAGCATGCACAAGGACACAGTAGCCTAGGAAGGCACTCTACTGTGCCCACTGTGACCTCTGCTGACTTCTGCCTTTAGGAGAACATTTGGCACTAACCCCAAGTTGCTATGCAGGATCTGCAGACACTTCATATTTGGGCCCCAGTAGAACTTAAGCAACAGATGGAACTTAAGCAACTAGTTAGGATGAGAGTAGTAAGTAGGTAAGCAATGCAGCAAGTGCCTGGAATTACCTTTGGGTCAAATCCTGCCTGTGATAACTGACATGTTATTTAATCTCTCTGCACCTCAGTTTCTGTGTCTTTGAGAGGAGATGAAGAATGTAGATGTGCTCAGTGTTGTACCAGCTCCTGGTGAGTGCTCAGAAATAGCGTCATTCAAAATCACATGCAAAGTAAGGGGACTGTCCCTATGGCATTGGGAGAATTATCCCAGGTTGTCCCAGGGGTCACTCTGCTTTCCATCCTTAATTCAGTGCTACTCAGTCATTTTCTTGTCCTGCTCCACTGTCCCTCTTGGGTTCACGTAATCCTGTGCCATGACTTCCTGGGTGTGAGGCTATTCCTCGTTATTCTGGTCTCGATTTGGCTGCCAACAGACCTACCCTGTCATTGGAACAGGCTTTCAAAGACAAATTAGTGGAGAGGTTAAAACACAGCCACTAGTTACTCTAATTATAGCCCCTTCTCTGTATTGCAAATGTGCTTAGGCATCTGAAAGTAGGTGGCAAACGGGAACAAGGAGAAGATAAAGTGCATGCTGTTTAGAAGGAAGTCCATTTGTTACCGAAAGTGATTTAGTGGTGTCCTCATTTTGGGTGAAACCATGAGCTGAACACAAAGCAGGAGTGTCTCCATAAATGGTACACTGGATGGAAGCAAATGAGGAATCTTTGCCATGGAAATGCCACTATGTGATGTTCTCAAGGGAAGTGGCTCTTGCGTGGGGATCAAGGTGGGCTCTTCCTAGCTTCTGTGTGGGGATCAAAGGTCACAGAGGGGCCACCCTCCCAGCTACTAGAACAACGGTGAGCCAACTCATGTCATTTGTGAGCCATGCCAAGCATGATCATTTGTTAAATGAGCAAGGATAAATTGGGTAATGGTGCCTGACAGGCCAGCTCATCCAGGCAAGTCTAACTAATGTGCTGTGAAATAAAAACACATCGCTTATTTACATAATGGAGCAAAGCCAAGTTCTGATAACAACTGTAAATGGGACCAGTTCACAGATTTGCATTCAACTGTGAGGCAGTTTTTGGCCATAATTTTTTATTTTCCTGCTCCAGACCTAGGCCCACTCCACAGGCAGCCTGGACATGCCCCTGCCACCTTATCATTACACTTGTTGCAAGGCTCTTGCCCTTTCTCTGCTAGTGCCAGTTGTTTTCTACCTTCTGTTCTCTGTTTCACATCGCTGGGCATTTTGGTGAACCCTCTTCTCACGACTGACCTCGCCAGCGCACCATCTATCAGACCCTTGTCGTGGGCACAGGTCCAGGAGGCCTCGGCCCAGCAGGGGTCATAAGCTGTAAGCCACACATTCATTCTTCTCCCTTTTGTCTTTCCAACTCCAGATTTTAAAAATCACTGGAGTCCAACCAAGCCCCACAAAATCTGTCATAGGAGAAAGACACCCAAATGACAAACATTCCATCATGCGTCTTTCTCTCCCCCAAAGATTCACTGTGCCCTCCTTTTACAGTTAATAAGTTTCTTAGCCATTCCCTCATTCATCTGCCAGTGCCATTTGCCTTCCAGAAAATCAATATAAAACCATAAATCTTGTTTGTCCTAATTTCTACTCTCAATTTATGGTGTCTGTTGTTTAGGCATGCCATATTCACTTGGTTATGATTAAAAAACAAGAGAAATTTATCTAGAAGCTGATATAAGGCGGGATAAAATGGGGGCACCCAAGTGAGGTTTGCATTTCACAAATCCACTTCTGTAAATTAGCGGCTGCTAATTTAGAAGAGTATTAAAGGGCCATAAACGTGGACACTCCTTTCCCACCTACACAGGACTGGTCAGAGTCATATTTGCTTCAAAGCTGAGATGGCACGAGCATAAGGGACCCTTTCTTTGCCTACAGACCTGGTTATACAATGGTGTGCCTGCCTCCATGTTCGATATCTCATCTAGTATTTTCTCCTCCTCATCCCTCTTAGAAAATCACAGCAAAACAAGGGTAGCTTACCAAACAACCATGTTTTGACTCTAAAGCTCCCTAATCATAAAACAATACCTATTAAATGCAATTCAAGCAGCCTCCAACCAGTCAGAAGTCCTCTCTACACCAACCTAATGTCACTGCCCAGGGCACAGCTCCATGGCCACTATGCACAGGGACAGGAAGGACTTCTTCAGAGGCCAAATTCTTAGGATAGTGGGTCTTTGTTTCTGTTGTCTACCATACTCTCCTACCTTACCCGCTCCTCTCGCTTGGGCAGCATATATACTAAAATTGGGAGGATACAGACAAGATTAACATGTCCCCTGTGTAAGGATGACATACAAATTTGTGAAGTGTTCCTTTTTTATTTAAAGAAAATGCAATTGAAACTACTGTGACTTTGAATTGTCTACAAAGTGGACAGATTTGGATTACATGGCATGTAGGTGAAATCAGCTTGGCTGAAAACTACAGGTGCTTGAAAGGGATTTTGTCTCTACTCCTCCCGGGACCAGGTCTTAAAGAGGTTCTGTTCCTTTTGTTGGTTTATCTTTTATGTTCTGTCCTTGGTAGAAGGTAAGATCTCTTGATCCTGGAGAAAGCAGGTGGCTTTTTCTTTGAATCTTTGGTCTAGCTTTCTAGTGTTTTGGGTTGCATAGAGGGTACCCTGTCTCATCTCCTGACCTCAACCTCAAGCAGCACTGGCCAGTGTTCCATAACCTCAGAGACCTCTCCAGGAAGGAGAAGCCATCACTTGGAGATGAAGGCCACTCCACCATTGTACAGTTCTAAGACCATGATATTTCTTTATGGTGTCTTTGTGTAACAACAATGTAGTATTGATAATCACTGATGTTTATACGGGCCAGAAGTATATGAAGGGGTGGAGTAGGACTTGAATCCAAGAAATTAAACTCATAACCATGACAGGTAATGTCCAGTCTTTTCAGAGACCTGCAATTTTACCTTTTAAAGCAAATTATATATATATATATTTTTTTTAAAGATTTATTTATTTATTTATACAAGCACTGGGTACAGTCAGAAGCGGAGGGTGAGAGAATTCACCAGAGCCAGAGCAGGGAGCAGAGCAGGCAGAAGGACCAAAGTACACTGCTGAGGGGAGCAGCAGGCCGCAGGAGAGATCTGTGCGCCATGTGGGACCCTCGCAGGCAGCCGGGGATTGAACGGCGCAGCAGAGGCTGCGGGTAGCTTCGCAGCCCAGTGCTCAACCACTGCGCCACCAGGGGAGGCTATATATATATTTACATTATTCTTCCTTTTTGTACAATGTATGCTTTCTCCTCTCAGGTGTATTCGCTATAAAATTCCCACCACCAATTCACCTGTGTACCATCACCATAGTCCCTGTGTAACAACACATTCCCTCCCCTGTTTTTATTCCTCCCCCTCTCCCTTACCTGTAGAGTGTCTCTGATTAATAGTTGCCTGTTAATTTTGCTTTTTAATTTGTTATAATTATTTTTTTTCTCGTCTCTTATTTGGTTCCCCTACATTCCTCCTATAAGTGAAACCATCTGATATTTTTCTTTTTCCTTCTGGCTTATTTACTGAGCATAATCCCTTCCAGCTCCAACCATGTTGCTGTGAATGGCATGGGTTTATCTTTTTTGATTACTGAATAGTATTCCATTGTGTACATATACCACATCTTCTTGATCCAGTCATCTATTTTTGGGCATTTGGGTGGTTTCCATATCTTACCTATTGTAAATAATGCTGCAATAAACATAGGGGTGCAGGTATCCTTTTGAATTAATGTTTTTGTGTCCTTTGGGCAGATCCCTAGGAGTGGAATTACAGGTCATATGGTAGCTCCATTTTTAGTAGTTTGAAGAAATTCCACACAGCTTTCCATAGTGGTTGGACCACAAACTGGCCATATTTTTGTATGTACTCATAATCTCAAATGATGATAAACAGACCCCCAACCTAGATCCTAGCTCCCCAGAACAGAATTTTCAGTGGATGTTAGCACTCTTGTTCTGGACACATTACTGTCCACTCCACACAAACTGGCCCACCTCTCTGACTTACAACAGTGGCCACATGTGGACACACTAAGTACAATGAACCTATCCTCTTGGTCAAGTGCTTCGGGATCACATACTTTTGTTCTCAAATATTGAACTTGATCTCAGTTCCAGGGTGTAATACCTATGATCCAGGGGTTCTAAAAGTATGAGTCATTGATCATCCATTGTCTGTTTTCTTAGTGAAGTTTGACCCACAGTCACACCCTTTTGTTTATGGATTCTTCATGGCTACATACACTCTACAGTGACAGATTTCAATAGTTGCAACAAATACCAAAATGTAAGCATCAGGCTCTTTTCAGTAAAAGTCTGCCAACATATCTTAGGTCCAAAGAGCTCTGATTGCTGCATTAGACCAATAAACTATACAGGGAGCGAGTGGGAGGGAGACAGTGGCCATCTTTGCAAGGACAGTGGTTACCCTTCAGCCAAAGATGCATGTCTGCAGCCAGCAGGGCCTATTTGGCATATAATTCTTACCAGAATTCTCACAGCCCAGAATTTTTTCCCCAAGTAACAATTTCTAACATTTTCACTGGATTAACTACGATGACTCAGTCAGAATGGAACATTTAACAGCTGAAAAACCAAGGACTTTAATTTGAAATTGTTCTCTGACCAACCAACCCATTTTCAAAAAGAGTGACTCCCAGAAATTCTTATTTAGCATGTCTTGTTGGGACATAGGATCCTGCACTTGAATAAGCTACTGACTTGATTTAGATGAAGGTGGCACACCTGTCCTATTTTGAGAAATGCTCATCTCTTTAAAAGACAAGCTCCCTCATAGTTTTCCCTGAGAAACAGAGGCTCCTTTGGACTTCCCAGAACTGTGTGCCTGAAGGGGTCTTTCTCTTGCTAATGAAAGCAGGATTTCCAGTTCCTTCTTTATAACCTCTATCACTTCTGGAACTCAGTGACTTTATCAGTACCTAGAGATTCTGTTGGGGAGGATTCCAGGACCTGTCTCCTGGGGAAGTCGGAAGGAAGGTACTGTAGCTGCTGGAGGACAGTGCCAGAGAATTACTTGTCACTTAACACCTGCCTTGGTGTCTTAGCTGGTGCTTTGCTTTACCCCCAGCAGAAGATGGACTAGGGCCACACTGTGTGAATAGGTCTGCACAGCTGCAGTATGGGACTCCAGAGTTGGGGAAGCTGCTGGCCATAGTGGTGAGGGAACCAAGCCAGAAGAGAGAATATTGGTTGGTTACTTTAGCAGCATGAGGTGGAGGTGGGGAAAAATAAGCAGTTCCCAAAGGGACAGAATAAATTGAAGCCCAAAGAATTCTGGATAGAAAAGTCTATGGATTCGGTCCCAATTATGGTTGTGTGGCAGAGGATGATCACTTAGCTTACTTGGGTTTTTTTACCTCACCATTGGGTTTAGACAAATTCTTTCTAAACTAATCTTTTGAAAGTCTGATAAATTCGTACATGCAGAGCTTTGTAAGTCCTCCTCTTCCTATATCACGACGGCTTCCCACTACAGCAGCTGGAATAAAACCCAAGCCTCTTCCCACAGCCTTCAAAGGCCTCCTATTTCCCTCACCCCCACTCCCTATGCTCAGTCATGCTGCATTGCTTTGCTGTTCTAACTTTCAAGCTTATAGCCCCAGAGTCTTTATAAGCATTTGCTTTGCTTTTAATCACATCATGTGAAATGGCATAAATGCCTGTAGTAATTACATATTTATCTATGTAATATGTGCCTGTGTGTATACGTGTGAATGTTGATGTGTGTGTCCACTATCTGCACCAGAGACTTGGTTCATCTTAGGTACTCAAAATAACTGTTTGTTGAAAGAACCAGTAAATTAGAAAGAACAAATGTTAGATGTCAATGATACCTCAATAAAACTGGGAATGAGGTATGTGCTCAAGATCACAGAGAAGCCTGCAAAGGTCAGGGGAAAGAACAATCCCAAGCCAGTTCCCTCTGCTATTTTTTTTTTTAATTTATTTATGCATACAAGAACTGGGTATAGGCCAGAGGTGTGGGGGGTGAGAGGATTCACCAGAGACAGAATGGGGAACAGAACAGGCAGATTGACTGAAATGCCCCACTGAGGGGGGCAGCAGGCGAGAGTCAGGAGAGGTCTGCTATGCCATGTGGGTAGCTCCCTGCCCGGGGATCGAACTCATGCTGCAGAGGCTGCGGATAGCTTCATAGGTTGCGTCTTAACCCCTTGCGCCACCAGGGAGGCCCACCCCTCTGCTATTCTTTACTCTTAAATTGTATTGAGCAGGGCTCCACCTGAAAGTGGGGCAGGAGCTTTTTAAGCCACACTGTGTGCAACACATTACTGCTCTGACCATGGGAATTAATGAAGAGAGATCACTTTCAAGTTTATGCTGACTCATCCACCTCCCCCAGCAGATAAAGATGGGACCGTGAGCATTCACATGTGCTCTGAGTGTTGTGGTCACTCCCCTTTCCACTGACCCTGCCAGTCACATAGTCCTGGTATCTGGATATGGTTCCTCTCATTGGACTGTGAGAATGCAGAGGGCGACATCCTTGATGGGCAGAGAGGCTCCTCCCACTCCCACTCATGCATGTCAGAGAAAAGGCCTTGTCCTTATAAGAATTCTCTGCTCTGTCTCCTTTTCCTCTTAAACTATTGAGAAATTACTATTTGAAGTTACCAGTATTCAGAGCCATCACTTGGGGAGAGAAAGACTCTAAAACCACCCCTGGCAGTTCTGCATGGGCCCCTTTGGCCTCTCCCACTGTTAATGCTGGTGGTCAGGGGCCAGATGTTGGGTTTTGTTGGTATAAAAGATTTGTAACAAGACCCTCAGTGAAATTCACTAACGCCTGCAGCAAGATTCAACCTCATTTTTCATTTAATTCAAATAAAATCCCTACCTATCTTTCTGCATGACATTTTTTCTTCTCCTTTGGCTTCCCCCAGGCCTATAAGTCATTTATAAAATAGAAACTAAGGGGTCTCCCCGGTGGCGCAGCAGTTGAGTGCTGGGTTGTGAAGCTGCCCACAGCCTCTGCAGTGCCGGTTTGATCCCCGGCCGCTGGGCGAGGGTCCCACAGGGCGCACAGACCTCTCCTGCCGCCCGCTGCTCCCCTCAGCAGTGCACCTCGGTCCTTCTGCCTGTTCTGTTCCCTGCTCTGTCTCTGGTGAATTCTCTCACCCTCCCGCGCTTCTGACTGTACCCAGTGCTTGTATAAATAAATAAATCTTTAAAAAAAATAGAAACTAAGGCACAGAAAGTATCTTGCTTTGAGAATGAATCTGCTGGAAGGAGCACTGTGATGATTTGACCTGAGCTTCATTCTGCCCATTCGTTCTGAG